TTTGCTCATCTGGTTCTCACCAGGATCGATTTTGACTGGAAAGCATAAAAATTGGAATGCTTTCCACTTTTTCTTCATGCCTTCCATCGTCATTTCTGGGGGGGAAAAGAAGCCATAACTATTCTAAGTGACTCTCTCAAGTCACTGAAAAGTAGAAAAAAAATCTCTTAACTCCTTTATCTTAGATAACCACAGTCATACAAACTCAGATACTACTTTGTACCATGCTGGCCCTGTACTTTATTGCATGAACTGGAGTCACCATCCCTRGAGGACTTTAAAGAAAGACTGGACTTGGCACTCAGTGCCATRGTCTGGTTGACATGGTGGTGCTTGGTCACAGGTAGGACTTGATGATCTCAGAGATCTTTTCCAACCTAATTGATTCTGCAGTTCTGTGATTCTTGCAATATTGATGGTGTGGCAAAAGTAACATTTCCAGGACAAAATACAAAAAAACCCCACTTAACAAAAATGTGCATTCATAGATTAAATACTTTGAATAAAATATGGATTAAAATGAAGTTGAAGTTAACATTTCTAGTTTCTTCCATGTTGCCTAGTAATTTTGCTCCCAAAATATAAATAACTTGGATTTTTTCAGTGTGACAAAGATGTTTGTGAATATATTTGACAGAAAAATGTTGTTGGCCAGTGACAGACAGACTGAACAGACACTGGGAAACTGCTGAAATGATGTAGTGTTTTGTCTTCCACGCAACATATACTKAAGTCCAGTAATCATCAGCACTGATTTTAAAACTTGAAGTAAAGTACCTTAGATATGGTATTTGAAACTTGATATCTGTAGGTGTCTAAGAGAGGATTTTGTTTGGAGGCTTTTTTTTCTATTTTTCACCCAAACGTTTTTACTTTTTTTTTTTTCTTTTTTTTTTCTTTTTTTTTTTTTTTTTTTTTTTTTTTTTTTTTTTTAATGAAAAATTTGCCTAGTCTGTGTGATATGAATGTGAGTTTGAAGGAAAGACCATGTAAAAGAAGCACATGCTTGTAGCACACAGCTGCTCTGAAGTTGGTTCTTAACATGACCTTGCAGCAAAAGTTGGCTGTCTTCCAGTGGTTTTTATTGCAGTCTTCTGCCAGCTTCATCCCAAATGCTACATATTGTCATAAAGCAGAAAGATACGGAAATGCAGCTGACAAAACAGATGATGAAGATCAGTTAGCTGAGGGAGGAGAAGTGGAAGGCAGAAGTCAATTGCAGATGATCTTACAGAAATGAGCATGCAAATCTTACTTGAACTTGTGAAGGTCCACCAGTATAACTGGCACAGGTTTTCCTATGTCAAACCAGATCCTGTGGGATGTTATCATCTGGTCCTTGGTGTTGCCTTAAGAAACATGGCTTGCACTTTTAAAGAACTGCAATTTCATATTTTAGCACCATAGTTTAATTTCATTTTTAAAGTACATTATTTTGAGGGCATTTGAGGGTTATTCAGCAGAAGGCTCTCATGCATCCTTGTTTTTAGTAGATGAAATTAAAGGTCAAAATATGCTATATGGAGCAGGGAACGTGTTTGTCTGTCCTAGGTCCCTTGCAATATAGGCAGAAAKTTGCAGTTTTAGCTTTAGGTACAGCTGACATAATCTCTGCATTGTTGTGTCTCTTGTATGTGCACAGTGTGATCTAGAAAGCGGGGTATAATGGAGACAATCCCACTGCAAGGCTGATGGCAAAAGCTGTGCACAAAAGAACAGTATACACTACGTACAGCAGAGATACATTGCCTTTCTCTTTGTCGTACTTCTCAACATGTTCAAACAATTTCCAGATGATRAGTTTTGTCAGTATAGAATTAAGGTAGGATTTTAAATTGTTTTTTAAATGCCTTATGATAACCTGGCACATTTTAGAGCTGAAGCTGAAACACAAACCACTACTTATGAGAAGTTATTGTGATGGATCAGACTACTTCAGTTTAGTTCAAAGCCCTAATATTAGTGTTGTCATGTAAGAGAAGCTTCAGAGGAAAAGGCAAACTCAACTGGTTCTGGTTAGCTGGGGCACAGCAAGTTGTCCATCATCAAGGAAATTTGGAATTCCATTTCAAAATAGGAAATATGAAAACCTTAAGCTGCAGGGAGTAAGAAAACCTTATCTTAAACCAAACATCTCACCTCCTTGCACTTATTTAGTACTCTAATGAAAGGTGCTTATTTCCTGTACAAAACATTCAGGTCAGCTTCTAAGATCCCTAACTTCTCACTAAAGCTTGACAACTGTGTAAGAAAACACCATCATTTCTGAGGCTGTTCACTGTCCAGTTTAATGCCTTATATGCATAAAGCTTTCTCCACAAGAACAGAAAGGCTGTGCTGTGCAGGTGCGTGATGCTCCAGACAGCTYGCTGACAAGGACAAGTGCCCATGATAGAGGCTGAGCCTCCCTTTACTCAGTTTAATGTTCCACCCTCAGCTGCAGTGACTTTAARTACCTTTCTACCTCTTTCTGTTTATCTCCACAGGTCCAGAAGGTGAACTATTTGTTCCATTACTCAACAGAAAATTGTAAGTAACTTTCTTTTCTGCAGCCAAAAAAGCCTCCTCCCACTCTCCCCTCTCCTAAGCCATACAGTGCAGCAATAGTTCAGATATGGTTTAGTGCACCCCATAACCTGCCTGAAAGGGTCCTCTGAATTGAGATTTCTRTATTTATTAATCTTCTCTGCTTTGCAGTCCTTTCTTGTGCTGTTGCAGCAACCAATGCCAGGACATCAGGACACTTAGCCTTATTTGAGCTGGCATTCAGCTTGACAAGTCAGGTTTCACTACCATTGAACTGCAGCTGCCAATTCAACACACATTCTGGCCATGAATTTCATACACAATTATGTTCCAGCTTCTGTTTGAAATTACAGAAACTACAACCAGTCAACATATCTAAACAGGAGGTCCTGGATTTCAAATYCTAATTCTGTGCTGTTTTGAAAAACAAACAGAACTCTTGCCTTTTGTTGTAGACYAGGTCTCAAATGTATTTATCCACAGCAACAGAGTGTTCAAATATGTTTTATAAACAAAATACTTTTATTAGGCTAGTACATGGGCTATTTTAAATCAAGAATTAAAATACAGTTGGTATTAAAGTATTGTTTCAGCTYATTTCACTAAAATCAAAGTTAGTGTAGATTAACCCCAGGAGGTAATATTTATCTGGAAAAATAGGGTTTTAAAAAATATAGATGGAATTTCTTTTTCCTCTTTTTATTTATCATGTTTTGGCAATATAGTTTAAAATAGATAGCTAATAGAGCATAACACTAAGCAAAACCAGAACTTAATGGGAACTGTTAATAGACTGTTTTATTGATTTGTTCCTGCTTCTGATGTGAAAATTATCCCTTCACTATTTATGTTTCCAATTTACTAAATGTAATTATTTTTCATTACCCTTTCTCCAAGAGCTCCATCCAAGAAAAACATCTTGAATATTTAGAGACAATYGAGATAGTTAATCCACTTTATTGGGTAACTGCTTCTAAGAAGGGCCTTAGACAGAGAAAAGTCATTGTTTCTCCTTGTTTATGGAAGCATCGTAACAGTGTTTCCCTATCTGGACACCAGCAGCCACATCCAGCCTGGGGCAGGAYTCAGAAATGGAAAAATATAACTGGGTGTGGCCTCTACAGACCACACTGTCACCTGAGTATGCAGTTACTGTGGTTTTCCATAGAGTCAGAGATGTAAACAAATGGCTGGCCACAAAGCAAAGAGCAGTCTCTTCTAAAACAAGACTCTTTATACAATGAGCAGGTTCAGCATGCCACTTCAGTATGATGCAGTGGCAAGAGAATATAAACCTCAACTTAGATTAAAAAATGGTTACCTGGTGTACATATATAAATACGTATATATTTCAAGCCCACKGACAGACTTGCAAATTATTATTGTTATTTTAAATATCAGCTGTATCAGAAACCTCGTTCTGACCTAAGTTCTACTACCCTGCTGGTGTGCAAACAAGGCAGAGGCAGTGACCCTGCAGCTCCTTGGGGATGTCCTTGTAAGCAAAGCTGTTGCTTTTGTATCAGATGGTATGGTTGGATTACTTCAGGGATGACTGTAACCTTTTCGATACATTTCTGTTTTTGCACAGTATCCCTCACAGGCTCAATGACCCTAATTATTCTTCTCTCAGTCACTGGTTATAAGAAATGTTACTGGCAGTGCTTTGTTCATCAGCTAAATCAGTGACTGTTTTAATACTCTTCAAATGCAAAATAAAATCTTAACTTAGGCCTCTTCCTTCAAAAGGTGTGACAAGTCAGTCCCACTGGCTCGTGTTACTATAACACTATAATTGGATTGTTTTCAGCATATGCCCATTTCCTCAAATGAATCGGTGGGATCTGTCCCTGTACTGGCCTTTGATCCTGATGACTCAAYAGTCTTGGCTGGACAAGACAAGGAACCTGGACTGCTTTAACTTTTTAAAGGGACAATTGGGTGAAAGGGTTTCCAAATTTAATGAATATTAATTTTCTTTTTTTCTCCTCTTCAATGTAAAAGCAACATACATTGATCCAACCTACACTCCTTGTCAAATAATTTAACCCAGACCAGTAATAACCTCCTTAAACTGACTCTGTCATCCTATGAAAGACTTACCTGCATTAATTTAGATTCCTGTTTAGTTCAACATGAATATTTGTCATACACAGGATTTCTTCACACCCATTTCATTGTAGGTTTCTGTACTTTTTATTGCTGCCCACATGCCAGACACTCTTCTACCAGCAGCCTAATATCCCTATTCTCAGGAAATTTGTCATGGAATATTCYAAAATAYGAAATTTGATTTTTCATATATGATACTCATCCCAGTGTATCTATAGCAAATAGGGTTGAGAWCCACAGATTTTACAACAAGTGTTTATATTTCCATTTAATATGAGAACACTTCCCCATTATATATTAAAATATGAGGCACACAAAAAATAAATACAATGATCTGGGAAAGAGAAACCTTACTGTTTTAGAGAGTCACCACATGTAATAGAAATATTACATATACCTTATAAAGTTGTATACAGTACTGTAATACATATGACATAATTTTCCAGTTTCCTAGAGAGTCATGAAAGTAATTTACAGACAACTAGCTCATATTTTCTCCAGAATAAATCACATGAATTACATGTGGAAACTGGAGTAAGGAGGGATTATATAGCAGTGCTATTAAAACAGTCAAAAAAGGCACTGATCCTACAGYTGAATCTGAGTAGTCATACACCTAAGCAAGACCAAGAAGAGTTTCTTCAAAAAGTCTGATCAAGATTCACTAATAAAATCCAACAGAAYAATGATATTAGCTTTTGAAGAGTTTGACGGTACAGTAATGCCATTGAAAATATCCCTGTTTTATCCATTTCAACAAAAATCATAATCTGAATCACCTCTATACTGCATATCTGCATAAGCACCAAGATAATATAAAGTAAAAGCTTATCCATCAAGTCCCTCTGACAAATGGTCCCTGATAAAAAAGCAGATTTTTGATGTACACTTAAGTACTTTTGGCAAGAGATACAGGTTCCATAAAAGAAACGTCACTGCAAAACCTGAAAAAAATCTAAAACTTGTAAAAAAGATCAAAGGTAGAGTATTTCTAATAGTCTGAGAAATAACAAAATGCACTCCAGTTCCTGAGATAAACTGCAGATCAACTGAGAAGATTTACCAGATTGTGTCACACTCTCATTTTCTCTTACACACTGCACACAAAGTCAGAACTGAAGCTTCTGCTAAGCTTACATGTCAGCAAAGCATGTGAAAGCTCAGAACATTCAAATTTTCTTTTCCACTATAAAAAACAAGAGACTGGCAACTTAGGTCAGAGACAGATAGACTTTTGTCACAGTCTGTCAAAATAATTTCCAGCCAGAGGCAGTTCCTTTGAATTAACTGCACTCGCATCATTTARATTAATATAACTGTGTTTCTATCCTGTTTTCACTGACAAGTGTGTTCTTATTCATCCCACTGCTGTTTAAAAGAGCATACCATGGACGAGTTCAAAYTCCTAGGGTCAGATTTTTTAAAAGATCATCTAACAGGTCAGCAGGTCTCTGTATGCTGGAACCATSATCAATGTGCTTCATTGCTACTAGCCATATGGTCAGTTCCTAACTTAGCATTAATGTTGTGCTCCATCTTCTGTAAAACTGCTGGAAGCTCCAGTACAGAAGAAATAACATAATGAGGTACGGGGGAGGTATCTACCGGGGCGGTCATTGCTTTGTTTAACCAGACCGTTGCTTTCAAGCCAGCATTCAGGCCGCCTTGAATATCTGTGTCTAGAGAGTCACCGACCATCACACACTCGGCGGGCTGCACCCCCAGGAGATCGCAACAGTAATGAAATATGGATGGCGCCGGTTTCTCCTCTTTCTGCTCTCCCCCCACAACGATGGCATCGAAGTAGGGCTGGCAGGCGCACGCCTCGATCTTCTCCCTCTGGGTCTGCCTGTCGCCGTTGGTGAGGAGCAGCAGGCGGAGGCCTTTCCGCAGCTCGGTGAGCATGGCCCGCGTGTCCTCGGCCAGCGTCAGGTGCTGCAGCCGCGTCGTCTTCCACAGGTAATAGCACTCGGCCGCCARGTCGCGGTTCGCCTCGCCGCCGATGGTCTCCTGGATCGCCTCCTCCCAGTGCGAAATCCGCAGGTCGGTGATGCACATCTTGGCGGGATCGTGGCACTCCTTGAGGAGCTTGGCCTGGACCTTATCGCAGACGGCGCGGGCCTCTCCCTCCCCGTAGCGATGCTTGGCCTGCAGGGCGCTTATCACCTGCAAGGGACGCGGGGACGCGCGTCAGGGCGCTGCGGGGGCGCGTTCCCGGGAGCGGCCCCGGCTGCGTGTCGGGAGGGGAGGGAGCGGGACACGCGCGGCACCGCGGCGGMAGGGGCACAAGGGCATTACCTCCTCGATGGCGCGCCGCCCGGCCGCCGCCGTGTCGATCAGCGTGTTGTCCAGGTCGAAGAACACCGCCTTGACGCCGTGCAGCCCCATGGCGCCGCCTCCCGCCAGAGCCGCCCCGCTCGAACGGCGGAGGGCAGCGCCCCAGACCGCCGGCAGAGCCGCCCGAGCCGGGCACAGCGCGGCSGGACCGCCCCTCGCGTCAGGCCCGCGGGGCGGGGCGCGCAGGGCCGGGGGAGGAGCTCGGCGCTCCCAGGTGTCCCCCCAGAAACGAAGGGTTGAAAGGGCGGAGGGCCCTGCGAGGGGCTGTGAGGGCACCCTGGCYGAATCCCGAGGGCTTGTGCGGGCTGGGGCAAGAGAGAAAGGCCGTGGGAGCTCCCGTGTCCCGGCTGTCGCCGAGAGCTGCAGGGCCCGGAGCTCCGCCTGCCGTGCCAGCCGTGGGCGGGGAGCGGAACGCGAGGGGAGACAGAGCCGTGACGGGGCGGTGGCTGAGCCCAGGAGGAGGAGCGGCCCTACCGGGGCCCCGGGCGTGCCGTGGGTGCGGCCGAGCCGTGGGGTCTGTGCTGCGCGTTTTCATGTTCGGTGATTTGCTTTGGTTTTTTTTTTCCCCCTCTCTGTAGGAATGCTTTCTGTGTGAGGCAACGGGACAGCTGGCATCTGATTGGAAAATACCTGTTGAGATGCTGCCAGGGAACAGCTTTACCGAGAAAGGATTCCCCCCGCAGCACTTTCACCCTGGAAGGCTTCCCCGCTCCCCGCTGTTGGCGGCAGCTTCGCTGGCTGGGCCAGSCGCGGTCCCGCGGCTGCTGGCACTGGGCAAGCCTGTCACCAGCCTTGGGGAGCGTCACCAGCGAGGTCTCTGTACGGGGTCGCTGCGTGGCACCCAAAGATGCCGAAGTTTGTAATTTGCGCTCTGGAGCATTCCGTGCACAGGAGCTGGTGAACAGGGACCTGCACGAGGGAGAAGGAGGACACGCAAAAGATTTGGTTCAGTTCGGCTTCCTCGGCTTCCCTGATACCTTCTGCAGCGTCTCCTTCYACAGTGTCTTGCGGGCACAGCAGCTACAGCACTGGGACTGAGTCATCCAGTAGCAAATGTTCCTAATAAAGCCAAAGTCAATAACTCCACTATTTTGGGAACCTGTATAATAATGGAATATTAGAAGCTCCAAAGGTCAATATTTTCTAGAGCAAATGAACCAGAAAGGCATTCAAATGAAGGCCTGAATGGCTTTGATAGAACAAGATTTTCAGGTGTATATACCAAAGGCTGTTTCAGAATTGGTCATTTTCCCCAAGGTGAAGTTTAAGAGGTTCGTATTCATTGATAATGTTTTGATAAACACAAGGTATTTTTTAAGAGCAAGAAAGCAAATTTGGTCAACTTCATTAGTGTTTAATACTGTTGATGTCGATTAGACATTGATGATTAACTACTATTCACAAAGCTGGAGGAAACTTTGTCTCTTACCAAAAAAAAAAAAAAAAAAGGAAGTTATCTCCAGGTCACTTTCAGTTCTAAAAACTACACCTTTTATAGCAATCTCCGTGTCTGATGGAATACAGAGTCGTGTGCAAGGCCAAAGTAACTGTGCCCAAGAGCTTGGAATATGGCGAGTAAAACTACAGAAGTCAGATGTTTAAGGAGGGGGATTCTGAGAAGAAACAGAGATGGTTAAGGATCGTGTAATTAAGGCAATAAGAGAAGTTTTAATAAAACTGCTCTAGTTGAATTTAATAAAATGTGCTAATTTTGCTTGATAAGATGGAAAAGATGTGGATGTTAAGCATGTGGATTTCATGTGTGTCTACTGAATTACTATTAAAAAATAACTGAATTTCTAGGATTCATTCATTCATTAAGAAGATTGCATTTGTTTCACAGAGCACTGCACTGCAGTTAGTGAGCAGTGGATCCTATGTGTATCTTTTGGAAAAGGTACATTTCCATAAAATTAATGTTTATGCTCTCTTTGATGTTGGTCAGAGAGGTCATTGTTGGAAAATAAATGTCTTACAAGATTTTATAAGGTATATATTTTTACTAGAAGCTTTCAGTTACAAAATTGAAGCAGTTAAACCATGAATGATAATTATATTTTAAACTTATTTTTTATTTTTTAATTTTCAGTTTTCTCACCAGCTGTCTGCGCATGAAAAATATATGGTTTAGAGTATGACTAATTGTAAAATGTGCTTTTGCATATACTTGAAAAGTTCTCTGCAAGTATTTTGAACTTCAGCCAGCTGTTTGATGTGCTATTATTTATTTGGACCCCAGGGTTAGCAAATAKAGCTGTCCCTTATGACAGCTTTATCTATCAGTAAGTGCATTACTTTCTCATTGCTTTTTCTGCAGGCTCACAAGAGGCTGAAWATCCCTCAGAGAAGTTCAGAGCCAGGAAAAGTCATTGGATACCTGAATTAGGAGACAAGCTGAAACGTAAGATACACTGCACATTCTAGAAGTGATCATGTRAGAATGCCAGTTTGGTGTCTTTAAATGAGGAATTGCTTTGGGTATCTTTTAACAACGAAGAACATCCAAAACCCCCAGCCAGTGCGATGGATGAATACGGAGAGTGGAGGCAGAAGGAGGCGAGAAGAGTGGGACTAATCCGTGAGGGAGACTATGMGGGTATAAAACCCCGGGGGTACTTGGGCTTGGGGGATTTGGATGTATTTGGGTGCGCACTGCTCTCCGCTGGCCATGCTGCTGAGCTACACTGCGTGGTTGCTGTAACAGAGAAAGGCGAGTCGGGGGCAAGGCCGGGGGTTCAGGTCTTTGCCAAGGCKCTCTCTTGCCTTGGAGCCCTCGCTCCCCGCGGGTTCAGGAGCGCTGGGTAGAGCGGAGGCGGCGGAGCCCTGCGGAGCTCTCCCGCCCTGCCGCCTTTCCGCCCTTTCGATTTCTGTTTCGTTTTCGCGCGGGCCGGGCGGTGCAGCGGGAAACGAAATTGGGCGGGGTCTGCTCTGCGCTTCGTGCTGCGCTGGGCTCAGTGCTGGTGCTGCCGCGGTTCTGGAGCGTCGGCCGCGGCTCGGAGGTACCGGGGGAGCGGGTGTGCGGGAGCGGGGAAGGGGTCCCTACGGTSCCGCCGAGATGGGGTGCCCGCACCCGCGGCCTGGCCCACGGCGCTCCGTGACTGCCCCCGGCTCGGCGGCGGCGTCATCGCTGCTTGAAGGAATTTGTTCGAGTGCCGCTGGGTTCTCCTCTGAAGGAACCGATTCCAATGCTGGAGAAACGTTACTGATTATTTTCCTGCCACGGAATTCAGTGAATGATTCAGTCTTTTTCTGTGAAGAAATCTGCTAAGCAATCTTCTCTAATCACTAAATTCTCCACTCTGTTTTCTAAAACTGTTCCAAGCAATGATTTCAAAACCTTTTGCAGACGAATCATTTGAATTAGAAACTGTAATTAGTTTTCCATKAACTTTGTTACTGGCACCAGTGTTCTATCTATCAGCATTAGGGGCTTTGTTCTATGCCTAGAGTGACAGACACACCTCTGAACGTTACTTTGCAGAATCTGTTGAAGATTGTGTCAAAATGGATCGTGAGTATATGGASAAGCTCAACCATTACAGTCAAATACATAATCTTTCAGTGGTTTATGATACCATCGATGTGACGGGCCCATCTCATGATCCTCAGTAAGTTTRCTCTGCATGTCAATAACCAGCAGGGCTCTTCCTGCAATGAACGAACAGGGTAAAGCTTGCAGTCACAAATGTCAATTTGCTGAAAGCAYAAATGTAGCAGGAGAGCTGGTTGAAACCATAAATTGAATGATAGGTGCGTGGGGAGAACATCATTGGATATAGTTGAAGGAGAAAACTTACTTCAAAGGTGATGGCTCTTTTTCAGAAAGTACCGGCAATGCACCTGTTACTTACTTGTAACTATCGTATGTTGTGCATCTCCCATGAAATCTCTCAGGAGGTGGATTGGGTTACAGGAAGTATTTCRGTTTATGATCTATAACTAAATTTCAGTTTATGATCTATGCTAATACAAAGCACTATACTAAGTGCTTTGATTTTTGTTTAGTTTTATAAAGCATTGTTGATTTCTAGCTATGAAGGTTGGATGTACTGATTGAGTACTACCATGTTTAAGGTGTAGTTTATTTCTTAACATCTCTTACAAGAAAAGGGTCTTTTGCTAAAGAACTTTGCATTCCATTTTAGAGGCAAATACAGGTGATGGAATATATTTTACCTTTTAACATTGATATAGTGTATTTTTTCCATTGCCAAAGGTTGTAGATACTCAAGATCTGTAATATTTCCTTGTGGGATTTTAAAAAAAATTTTGCTAGCTTGCCTGAAGATGGGACTTAGGCTAATTATTAATATGTTTCTTTGAAAGTCTTGGATTTTGTCAGCCAGCATTGTCTATGCAGACTAATTCTTAAATCTGACTACCATCCCAGAATAAATGAATAAATATTATCTAGATCTCAAATGTTAATCGATTATCTTATTTTTGCCCATGTGGCTTATGCAATTCAAAAAAAGTAGTGATCACAACTGTGATCACACAGCAGCACCTCCGTGCTTCAAAAGTGATGGCATGGGACAGACAGAACTTACATACATTCCAAGTTATTTATCCCATTTATTGTGCTTTTTCGTTGTTTTTCTGTGTGTTCTGTTACATTCACAAACGCAGTTCAGTCCTTTGTGTGACAGTGGTATCTAGGAAAATCCTGGGTAACTTGGGCTATTCCAAGGATACAATGTCAAGTGTCTGTGCAACATGTCTGTAGTGATGCGTGCTGTAAACCTCCTTCAGTGCCCTTGTGCTGCTCTTTCCCAGTGCTTTGACTGCTAACAGGATGCATTGACCACTGCTGGTTGTGAGCTGACTCCCCACCTCTTCTGGGCTCTCATGTCCCCTCTCTGTCCCATCTCATGAATCATCCTGCAGTTGTCTGAGGCATGATGCAGAGATACCTTCCACCTTATCATGGTTCTGGTGCTGTGGCTGCTTCCAGTACGAAGTCTGACACAGTCAGTGCTGAACACCATGTAAGAATGTTGAGAGAGTCCATGGTGGCTCAGTCCTGAGCTTTCTTGCTCTGGGAAGACAGTGAATGGACAGTTAGGCCAGTTCTGCCTAAATCTGTCTAGTCTGGGAATTGCTTATTAACTTGGGTTCCTGGTGGATAAATGTGACACTGCATTTGTGACCAACTCATGTAATGCTCATTCAGCTAATTCTCAGCTTGGTGATGGAGACTCAGATTGCAGTTTTCCTCAGGATGCTTAAATAAAACGGTGTATTTCGGATGCAGTGTGGCTGCTGAATGTGTATAGTATTCAGTGCTCAGGTATGGGTTGACTGACAAACCCCTTCCCAAAAAAAAATCTTTCTTACATGCTCTTTTTTTTTTTCTTTGCTGTTTCCTATGTATCAAGTATATGGCATACTATAAGTGTGCATTCTACTGCTGTTTGCCCCCTTTAGATTTCTTGTTAAGCCTTGCTTACAAAATGAGAGCAAGCACTCTTCTGCATCTTCATTGTTTTCCACCCAAACATTTCATTAAAGGGGAGAATGAAGTTGGAATAATGAAAAAAGTGTGTTCCTAAAGTCACTACACAATTTGCAACAAATTTTCCCACAGGAAAATCTCACGGTGTTATACCTTGACTGTTTGTGTGAATCCTTGGTGGCCATGAGCATTTACATGCAACCTRAAGCACGGACGTGCCCTGAGGCTCTAACGGTCACTTTAACTTGTTGCTATCACCAAAGGCAGAAATCCAGTTGTTGTTTTCTCCTCTGTTGCCTTTCGTGCAAAGGTAGTAGCAGAACCATKAAGAGATTTGTAGCTGTTGGACARGTTGGATCTGTGTTGGACAAGTTGGATCTGTGTTAGGACTGATTAGTCCAAAGTCCAACCATTTGTAGTTAGGGCACAGTGGTGGGTTGACCCCCAGGAGGCAGTGAAACCCGCAGCCAACTACTGACTTCCCCTCAGTGGGAAAGGAGAGAATCAGAAAAGTGAAAGCAAGAAAAATTTGTGGATGAAGACAGTTTAATAAATGAAGCATAGCTGGATGTGYGACCAAAGCAAAATAAGGAATTCGCTTTCTCCTACCCTTCAGCAGGCAGATGTTTCTGGGAAAGAGGGGCTTTGTCATGCCCAGCAGTTACTTGGGAAAGTAAATRCTACAGCCCTGAGTGTCCCTTCTTCCTTCTTCACCTCCCAGCTTTTATTGCTGAGTGTGATTCCATATGGCATGGAGTATCCCTCTGGTTGTGTCTCTTCCTAGTTTCCCACATATCCCTCCTCTGCTTGCTGGAAGGCCAGAGCAGGAAAAAGAAAAAGCTTTGGTGCTGTGCAAACASTGCTCAGCAACAGGTTAAACATCAACGCTGTGTTCGTCCCAAATCCACAGCACAGCCCCATTCTGGCTGCTCTGAGAAAAGTTAACCCCATYCCAGCCAGACCGAGTGCAGTCAGTCTTGAGCTGCATCAGATCCCCATTCTGACTCCTCAAGTGCCATATGGGAAGCAGGACATGCAGAGTTGTGGAATGGAAGGACAGAGAGGAAAGGGATCAGCAGTTGAGTGCAGAAAGGCAGGACTAGGGTATTTGTTTGTCTTTTTTTGGTTGTCTTTGTTTTGTGGTTTTTTTTTTTGAGGTTATTTTTTTTTGTTGTTGTTTTGTTGGACTTTTTTTTTTATGACTGCCTTTAAATTCATGTCTCGCAGCACCAGCCATGGTTTTTGCACTTTCTAAGTAGTGTATGTCACAGGGTAATAAAGATGAGCGCAAGGTCACATTTGATTTCATGAGACCGAGATTAGCTAATCTTTCCTCTCTGTATAGTTTTGCACTGCTGAAATGTATCCTGGTGTTAGGGCTTCACAACTTTGCTTGTAACAATGATGACCTCATGCATTCTTTTGCTTTTAAAAATGTAATTATTTTGATTTTAGAAAGCAGGTAAGCAGTTAAAAATACTGYTGGATCTAGTAAAGTACATGCATTTGTGACTAGAGAGGAAACTTCTAAAAATATTTATATGAAAGTATTATGATAATCATAGGTTTGGTATAATAAAAACACATTAATGCTTCAATACCTCCCAGTTATTCTGTAGTGCTTTCTAGATAATAAAAACAAAGTTTCATGTGATAAGGTTGTTAGAGTATATTTTTGAGAAAATGTAACAATGTTTTAGACAAGTTTCTTTCATTGCAGGTTCACAGTTGTGGCCAAAATAAATGGTGAGGTATATGGTACAGGCACTGGTAAAAGTAAAAAAGATGCAAAAGCTGTAGCAGCAAAAAAGAYGTGGGAAATGATTGAGGAACAGGTAAGTAAAAGTAGGATTAAGTTTGGGGTTTTTCTACTTTTTATCATGGAATTGTTTTCCTTGTTGTTCTCCTATAGGACTGATGTTTAATATCGTGAGTGTTTCCTCCTCTCTCTTGTAGGAGGATAAGGAAATGTATTTGCCTTGGTTAAGCTGTCTTGGTGTATCCAGGGTGGACAGTAATGCTTTCTGGTCTTGACAACAGTTCAGTAATTCTATGTTTTCCAAACATTTGCAGTGCATTACTCAGTGTGTCTGTTGCCACTCTGCTAATGAATTGCTTGCTTTCACTTGTTCTAATGCATCTTTTTTCCTTTTCCCTTGTCATTATATTCTTTACAGTATAGCTGGTTATCTACTGTATCCTTCCTTGATTAAGTCTAGGTTTGAATTTTGCTCCTTAGTTCTCTGCCAAGTGTTTTGCCCWTCTATATCTGCCATTCTTTATTTTTCTTTTTGACTCCGAATACTTCTTAGCACTTTGTGAGTGGAATCTTTCCTTACCTGTTTCTGTATGGCTTTAATTGTGTCACTGTCATTACTCTAACACAGTTGCTGCATGTTTGCTGATATGTTACTAATGCTGACTAATCATGAAATAGCTTAAAAGCCGTGTTTTCTCTCTGAAAATGCAGAAGAYCATTTGCAACCCTTGCTAAATGGCAGCATCAGCAGCATCCTRCTACTATCCCTTCTTCACAGCTCATTCCCTATATTATCATAAGAGATGGGATGAGGCATAGGGAGAGGTTGTTAAAGGCAAAGGTGTAGTACTTGGAAAGCCAGGTTTTTATTTGTTCAAAATGTAATAATTAAGGCTTGCAGTGTCTGTCCTTTGTCATGACGGACTTGGCTAATGCAAACTTGGGACATCTTAAGAGTCTTGAAATGTGGACAAACCTTGCAGCTATAGTAGTTCTTGTGCACTGTTAATGTCTTTAAGCTTAAGTTTTAAAGTTAACTGTTTTGTTTGTTTCACAGCACAAGAGTCCCTCACATATGGCAGCTGCAGAGTTAAGGACAACTCAAACAACCTCATCAACTCCACTAGACGATTATGTCAGCCTACTAAATATWTTTTCACAAAGGACAATGCAAATCGTTGATTATACTAACACASATCGTTCTGGAGATGCCCATGCTCGCATGTAAGACAGAATTTATCTTCCTGCTTCCTTCTAGTACTTTRTTGTGTTTACTAATGCTACCATTAGTTATCCGTGGTCATGTTAGATGAATCTTTACAAAGAATCACATGATGTGCCTGAGAGCACTGTCCAGATGCTTCTTGATCTCTGACAAGCTTGGTGCTGTAACCATTTCCCTGGGAGTTCCAGTGCCATCTGGGTGAAGAATCTKTTCCTGCTATCTGACTTAAACTTATCCCGATTCAGCTTCATGCTGTCTCCTTGAGTCCTGTCCCTGGTGACCACAGAGAAGAGATCAGTGTCTCTCTCCTCTTCCCCTCACAAGCTGTTGTAACTGCAATGAGGTCTCCCCTCAGTCTCCTCCAGGCTGAACAGACCAAGTCACCTCAGCTGTTCCTCATACCACTTCCTCTCAAGGCCCTTCACCATATTGGTTACCCTCCTTTGGGTASGACATAGCTTAATGTCATTTTTCTATTATGGCACCCAAAATGGCCCCCAGCACTGGAGGTGAGGCTGCCCCAGGTCAGAGCAGAGCAGGACAATCCCCTCCCTTGCCCAGCTGGTGATGCTGTGCCTGATGCCCCCCAGGACAGGGCTTTCCCTGCTGGCTGCCAGGGCACTGCTGGCTCATGTTCAACTTGCCACTGACCAGGACCCACAAGTCCCTTCCTGCAGTGCTGCTCTCCAGCCTCCTGTTCCCAARCCTATACATGCTACCTGGGTTGTTCCATCCCAGCTGCAGAATCCAGCACTTGCCCTTGTTAAATTTCACATGGTTGATGATTKCCCATCCCTKASTTTTYGTGTCTTGGTCTCTCTGAAGGGCTYCTCTGCCCTCAAGGGAGTCGACAGCTCCTCCCAATTTAGTCAGCAAACTTACTTGGTATCCTTCAAGTCCTTTGTACAAGCTGTTAATTAAGCTGTTGAAGGTCAGGGCTGAGAGTGGAGCCCTGTGGAACCCCACTAGAGACAAGTTCCCAGTCTGATATCACCCCACTCACTAAAACCCTTTGTGCCTGGCCCATGAGCCAGTTGCTCACCCATCATTTAAACATGGTATCCAACTGTGGGCTGGGCCTTTTGTGCAAAAGGACACCATGAGAGATGGTATCAAAAACTTAGCCAAAGTCCAAATAGATTACATCGTCTGGCYTTCCTAGATCAGCTAGGTGGGGTACCCTGTCATAGAAGGAAATCAGGACTTTCCTCTCATGAAGCCATGCTGGCTGTGACTGATGACTGCATTGCCCTCCAGGTGTTTATCAATACCTCCCAGAAAAATCTTCTCCATGACTGTACCAGGCTGTGATAATGGGTTATCTTGAAGACACAACAAATTAGCTATCTACCATTATTAATTAGATTAGATGTATATTGGAAACACTGTCCTGAAGATTTATGTTTCAGATTTCCATTCTATAATGTCAGTTGATTCTAGTATTTCAAAATCATTAAATTAAGACTTGTCATATGGGATTTGACTTGATTCCCTGTTGTGTTTTACAGGTATTCTGTTAGCTGTAMAATTAGTGGTCACTTGTATGGAAGGGGCACTGGACCTTCTCTAGCTGTTGCAAAACAAGCTGCTGCAAAAGAAGCATTTGAGAGGGTAAATACGGAAATTCTCTGACAATATGTGCTATATTTAGCTTTAACACAGAAGGTTAAATCTTTGAACCAATTTCCTCATTGTATTTAAAAGCTATGCCACAGATTCCATCATAGAGGGRAATAATTCATATTTTAGTATGTTGGTTTGGGCTACTGTTAATAGAGTTTTTTGTGTTTCTACATTCAATTTTGGATTTAAAAAAAAACCCTAATAGTTGATACCTGTTTCAGAATAAGTCTGATATGTTGTCATTCAAGGATGCACACATATTAAAAATTTCTAAATTCTGACTCATAAACCAGTTGTCTTCTGTGTGAAGTGTTCTTGAGCTGCAGGCTATGAACTTCTATTACTCTCTTCTGTTGGGTCAAAAATCTATTGTGAAATATGAGAGGMAAAATCAGGAGTCAGAATCACCAGGACTTGCCTTCTGTGGTGTTCCAAGGCAGAGCCTAGTGAAACAATTGCTGCCACCATCCTCTGGAGAGCAGAACTGTTGGCTTCATGTTGGCAACGCCTATTTCCACATGTGCAAAAAATTATCAGCATTCCAATAATGATCTAAACCCACTTCTGAAAGACACATAACATATGAACTAACTTAAATGGGTTGTAGTTTAAAGTAAAGGATGGTAGTAGGGGAAGGGAAGAAATATTTTTTACTTTCAAGTGTTTTTAAAATTTTTTGGCCATTACTGTGAATTTTCAATGCTTTTTTCATTGTTTTTAAGCAAACATGTAATTAATGGCCTATTGCAGCTCTAGGAGTCTTTCTTAATATTTTCCTGTATTGCAAGCCCAGGGATCTTTTAATTTTCATCAAAGTCCGAAATTTACTACCTCAAGCAGAACTTGTATACCAATTAGTCTAAACTTGGGGTCAGTTGTTTTGGTTTGGTTTTAAATTTTATTAATTCTCATTGATGTCTGTGTAACAAACGAAATGTAACTGGCCAAAATTAGTTGGGATAAGTTTTTTTTTATTCAACTCCAATGTAGTCATGGAAATTTTGCAGAGTTTTCATGCCAAAGACATTGAATGCCAATTTGTACTGACTCAGATTTTCAGTTCTGCTGATTACATATAYCAAAGCCTACATATATCTCATTTTCCACACAGGCAATTGTACATGCAGCAACCAGTGAAGACATTTGCTTTTCATAATTCTTACGCTTATCCCAGTTTTGAATAGAATCCAAACTCTACTTTAGTAATGTGTCTGTGSAGTACACTCTATGTGACAGGGCCTTGGGTGCAATTTCTCTGGGTGGGAGATTGGGCAGATGTCTTTCTTCCAGGAGGTTTTGAATGTTTAGTGCAGTTAACARCTTGCTCTTAGGACCCTGTAATCTTCTGTCTCCCCTCTTTGGATGGCATTTTTTCCAYTAGGGATTTGTTTATGTGATTTTGTTAAGTATTCTTGGCTTTTTTTTATTTAGCTGGAAGCTGAAAAATCTAATGGCAATTTGTCTCAAGTGTCAACCCAGAGTGACTCCAAGTAAGTTGGATTCATTGCTAATGTGATAATAATGTATTTACTAATCTTAGAGGGTAATGCGCTCTAATTCTAAATAAAATATATTATAGTTTGTTCTATTGCAATATAAAGCCATTTAATTTTAATTTTAATTTGTATTCCTTAAGCCTCAGAACAAMGTTTGTTCTACTTGTGCAATTTTATGTGAGTCTGTATGAAATAGCTTATAATAAGTTTTGATATATTCATATTTTCTGATATATCTATATTTTGCCATAGGTAGTTCTTTCAGAAGCATTTTTACTGCAATGTAAATGGATTAACCTACCTCATTCAATAGCATTATTTCATGCCATTTAAACACTCACTTTCCTGTTGTGACATTCTTGTGAACTCAGTATAATTTAATTTCAGTACTTTCCTGTGCTCCATGTTCTGCTTTCTTCTCTCCCTTTTTAATTTTTTTCCCTTTTTCTGTTCTACATAAATCTTCATTTCCACCAAAAGGAAAAATTTGCTTACCAAAAGAAAATGAGCATATATAAATTTCATATGTGATTTGAGAACCAGAAGTTTGACTGTAGTCCCACTACACTTTTACGTTCTTTTTATGTATCTGATTGCCTTAATGTTACACAATGCTAAAGGTGGCTCTACTACCTTGAAATAAACATCTGTGTTTAACTTATTTAAATAAAAGGTGTAATAAATATATATTATGATATCTAGGTATCATAGAATCATATCATAATAGAAATAAAGGAGTATTTTGCAAAGCATTGTTATTTTAGTAGCTTTCAACCAGGATGTTTTGTAGTTTAAATCAGTAATGATTGTTAATGCCTTTTCAGGTTTTGCTTTAAAAACTGTGTATTTTGTGGTACTACTTCCGTTCTTCTGGCAATTATTTTATTTATTATTGTGTTACTTTCATCTAAAAATAATCTATTTTTTTTTTCAATAAAAGCAGTGTTTGCTTTGACTCAGCTACAGWGTTGGTAGAAAAAATTAAAGGCATGGCAGTATGTGAAAAGCCTTCACCTTCTCAGGTATAGTATGAAAATGGTCTTCCTCATAATTACATTTTAGAACCTGAATAAGGCTTGCTTCTTGTCARAATGTAACATCAGTTTGTTCTTTTATCCACTAATCATTAGAAAATACATGCATTTTTCCTAAGAATGTTCAGTACATTCTTACTGTTAGCCATTAGTCATTTCCTTCTGTACTGTGGATCAAATTTATGAAGTGTTGAACAAATGGCAGTACTCCAAAGGAAAAGGGTCAAACTAAGCTAATTTTTTGTTATGAAAACAATGATAATGTTATGCATAGCCTGCCTGAAAAACATTGAGCCAAAATATGGCTTTGTTCTTATTACCTTGTTCACATGAGGAATGATCATATTTATAAGCAGTTCCTAGATACATTATGAGACATGTTTCAACTGTAGTGAAAATATTCAGGATGCTTCATTTAGGCTTTTTTTTTCTGTTTTCCATGTAGAGAAACACACCAAGCTCTGCTGTGAAGCCCAAAAGGTATGTGTTTATTTCTAGATTGCTGTCTCCTGTMAATGATGCTGCAAATCACTTTATTTTTTTTCTGTGTCTGGTGAAGAACTGCTGCTATCGGGAGGCACATTTTTTTCTCATCATGTGTTAGAAAAATGTCTCATTATAAATTTTGCTTTTATTCTTGTTAAAGAAAAATGGCAGCGAATTTTGCTAATATAAGAAACAAGGAAGAGGAAAAAGCTATGTCAGATTCAGATGGAAGTTTTCCAGATGTGGACACAAATACTGGAGAAGASAATGGGAGTCCACACACTGTCAATATGATGTAAGAAGGACTTTTTAAAATTAATATTTGTAAGGCAATTATGGTAGTATGAATCTAGATTTATTTATTTATGGTAGGAGGGGAAATACTGCTGTAAAAAGAGTTTTCAAAGAAGATTGGTATTAGATTTATTTTTTCCTGGAAATTTTACATATRGGGTAGAAACTGCAATGCACTCATATTTAAAACTCACAACTAAACATTATGTGAAGATGTGAGGGTAATTACCTGACAGGCCTGCAAGGGTCAGTTGCCCTTGCTGTTTTAATCTCCAAGACTATGATTTAGACCTGTAGATTTGATCCCTGTAGAATATTTCAGTAGATGTATTATATCTGTCAAAATTAYTTTCATATCCTTAAATTAAAAAATAAGTAAAATTAAAGGTGGTTTCCTTTTTTTTTTTCTTCAAGATTTCTTGAACAATATAAAGAAATAGAGCCTATCGGTGAAGGTGGTTTTGGGAATGTTTTCAAGGCAACATCAAAGAGTGATGAGAAAACCTATGCAATCAAACGAGTTGAATTCACAGAGTACGTACTGTATATTTACTTCTGCCTTTTAGGACAACCTTAATCAAGATTTTAGTACTTTGTTTTCACACTTCAACGATGCTGGGAGCCTCTAAGTGATTTCCATTATTAATTGTCTAACCTTTCTAGAAAACGGTTTTATTTCCAAGTGAAGCTGAAAATGGTGCTGAACCTTTGTTAATTTTTGCATGTAATGGGTTGATTTCTGCTGGAACTGTAAAAATGTAGATGTGTTAAGTTCTGTTTTCCCTGAACACAATAGTGCTCTGGTTGCTAATATTGCAAAATGTGTTTGAAGAAAACTTGATGATTATTAAAACATTGAAAGCAGCCCTGTTACTTTTGACAGGCTACATGGAAAATTTCCATATCAGCAATGCRCAATAACTATAATAAGGGAAAATAGAAAAAAAAATCCAAGTAATAMATTTTATTGTTTGTAGTTAGAAAATGCTTTATATATGATCCACGTAGTCATTACTCTCATGTTGTGTTACTTGTCTTTTCTAAATCCCAACAGAGAATGGTGATCTTAATTTTTTTTAAACTAGTTTTCTGTAACCATTACCTAGTAGAGCATTTTATCAGCAGTTGAAAAAATTAATTTCTTTTAGGTAACCTTTTGAAAATGTTTTAAGTTKTTGGAGATACTTATCCCTAAAATTGTGTAATGTGTATATTTCCCTTTGAATTCTTGTGGGTTTTTTGCAAATGTATGTTATTTTCATTGGTATTACAATCCTGAGAACTGTGCTACAAAACTTCTGCAGATTCTTCAAGTAATGACTGCAGCTCTGCTGATGGGTTTGCAGCTATCTGCTTTTTCAGATTTTTTTGAGTGGAACTTTAATTCCTAATGTGTTTAAAACATTTTTTATACTTTGAATAACTGAGCAGATGAAATTTGCTCAGTTTTTTTTTTGAACTTTGAACTTATATGAAGGAGAATATTATGCTTTGTTTCTAAATTTATGTAAAATTACCTGTATCCCACCAGTTGATAGCATATCTTTTATTTAACTTTGTATTACATTTTAATAGGGAAATGCCTTTTTTAAAAAATCTTTTCCCCCTCCTGATAGGAAAGTACAGCGTGAAGCAATTGGACTTGCAAGCCTTACACATGAGAACATAGTGCGGTATCATAGCAGCTGGAAAGGGCCTGACCATATAAAATACCCATACTCAAGGTAACTACAAAATTGTAGTTTGCATTCACAAACTTGTTTGCCACAATTAACTTTATGCTGTGAAAAGAAAGGCTGATATATTAACTTAGTGAATTTATATAGAAGAGTAAGAATGCAGAACTCAAAATTTGGGGCAAGAATTAACAACAGAAACTAAAAAACTGCCAGACAGTTGGCTATCAAAATCCTGATCAGAAGCTTCCTTTTTATAATAAATACTGGTCAGCCTGTAGCTACAATAGATTTAATTATTTTCTTAAGTTAATATTTTACCCATGATGCCTGAAACAGTTTGGATTGTTTAGAACAGAAATACAAAATAAAATGCTYTTTCATTTAGAGGTAGCCTTTTGACACCGAGACTTCTGGTAAAACAGTGATGAGAGTTTTACTTGTAAATTAGACTATTAACTTTTCCAAGCTCCTGTAGTAAGCTTTTTTCACTAGATATAAATTCAGACCCTTCAGACAGGCTGCCATACTTACCTAGAGCCTGATTCAAAATTATGGTTGGCATGATAYCACTCCTGTACTGTGCTCATTAAATGAGTAAAATGGGGGGGGGAAAGTCTGTCAAAAGCAAACCATTGATATGTTAGAGCCTCAATATCATGTATATTTTTCCATTAAATGGTTATTGGGTAAAAGACAGGAAGAAAAGTCCTCAAAGCTGAGGTCCCAGATGGGAATTGGTGCTCTGACCTCAAGGTTACAGAGAGTCCTGAGCCATTTTATGCTTGTTCTTTCAGTGCCTCAAGCAGGTTTATTTCCAGGGCATTCATCACACAGTGTACATAGGGAAAAACAATAGCTGCTTCACTTTTCATTGTCCTTCCCCTCACCATCTGCAGCCTCAGCCTATGCTATGGGCTCTTCTGGAAAGTGTGAGGCTGCCAAGTGGGTGAATATATTTCATCTAGATTTCCAGCTCTCAGAAGGGTTTCTGTGACTAGCAGACMGATGTCAAAGACAGTCACTGCACTACCTTCTTGACAGGACAGAGTTGGGAAGAGCATGACCTTTCTGGGCAGGATAGGAAGGCTGATGCTGTGTTTGTTGAGCAGAACAGAGAATACATGTCAGGGACTTGCAGCAGTTCCTACAAGACAAGATGGAAGCCAAGGACAGTGCTAATTCTTCCTGCATAGGACATGCCTCCAGGTATGAGGGAAGTTGAACTTGGGAACTCAGACAACATTCAGTGTTGAAACTAGGAAGCAAGCAAAACTTTAGAAATATTCCAGGGGTATGTAGCGACTGAGCAGGGATTCTTTGGTTTGTAGTCGTAGTTATTTAATACAAATTGCTCTAGGCTCTTTCTTAAAATTAAGAGACTTGCAGACTTTGTTTTGGGTAAGTCCAAGAACAATTATTAGCAAAAAGTCTTTTTAGAGATGACTTGGGAGGAATTGTATCTTGCCAATTTTAATATGGTATGTAATTTTCTTTTCAAGCCGTAATTCAGACAAAAAAACGGACTGTCTTTTCATCCAAATGGAATTCTGTGAACAAGGAACTTTGGAAAACTGGATTGCACAGCACAGAGAAGACCGAAACTATCATGTAATGGCACAAGAGAAATTTTTACAAATAGTGAAAGGAGTGGAATATATTCATTCTAAAAAGTTAATTCATCGAGACCTCAAGGTATGTAGGATATGTAAATAAAGAAAAAAAAGAAAAAGCTAGTACACTTACCAGAATTTCAGCAAATGTTAAAATGTTATACTCGTTGCATACTCTGTTACTTAGCAGTGTCCTTCTTTGGATATTCCTAGTGATTAATTTTCTTTCACAACTCGCTGAACCTCATCCTAAATTCAGAGGGTGAACTGGAGAACCTCAGAATGCAATAGCTCACGGAATCAGTTGTCATCAGCTAAGAGGCATTTTCAGTGTGTTATCAGGTCACAAGACTGCCTTCTGGAAAAGAGGTTCAGTCTAGCAAGTTTACTCTTGCCATATTGTAAACAGATCTATCCTAATGCATGCTGTGTTTGATAACAATATGTTCTAGTTACTTTTGTCTCACGTATGTGTACAAATATTTGAATGCTATGGATTTGGATAAAATTCCAGTCTCTAGATGTGCACAGTCCTAAGATTTCAGAATAAAGAATATAAGGAACAAAGCCTTGACGGCTTCAGGATGGAAGCTATAATGTTGCTTACAGAGTTTTAAATCACTCACTTCATGAAAAAAATCATTAGTGTAGTGGCATTCCTAGGTTTATAACTTCCCTGCCTGACCACTCGAGTCATTCTGGCAGTCAAACTCCCACCAGCAGAGGCCTTGACAGATGGCACTGAAGTCCCTTCACAATAGGCAGCTCCAGTGAATCCACAAGAACTTCACYTGACTCCCACAYACTCCAGCCTTATTCAATGCTCAACATGGGGTTCAAAGCCTTGACCCTGAGATTAAGGGTTTCTACCAACTGAGCTAGGAATAAAGCTTTGGTTGATCAGGAATAGTATTGTCCAATTTAATGCTGCTTCTCAATCCACAYGCTGCTCACTCACTTCCACCTCCTGTGGGAGGCTGGAGAGGAGAATTGGAGGCACAAAAGATAAWGATCATGGATTGAGATAAGAACAATTTACTGAAACAGCAATGAAATATGAAAACAAAAACAGCAACACCATTGAAAGCAAAAGTCTAAAAACAGAGTGATTCACATCTACAAAATTCACTGTGGAGGCACAAAACCTGACCATGCCACAAAACCTGACCTGGAAGTGAATCCTTCCCCCACTACCAGAAGATGRCATGAGGTGGTATAGAATAAYCTCTGTGYCCTAGCCATGTATCCCCCGCCCATTACTGTAAAAATTAACCTCTCCTGACCAGAACCCAGATATATTGTTAACTCTTCCACCTGTATTTGAGTTCAGGAACTTTCYTCTCCTCATTGATCTGCTGTCAGCTTGTGTGCTTGACCATCCGGGATCTCCATCGCCCAGAATCAAAGCTGTAGGATAGGTTCAAGCTGAGATTAAAGTAATTAGTGCCTTGTAGGAACACAGTCATTAAATAGTGTAGCCAGCTATAGGTACTGTATTAAATATGTGTGGACATGGTCAGACTTGAACATAACAACTACACTGAGCATTCTTTACATGAAAATCTCTTCCTGTTGACTGTTAAACATCTGTTGGCCTTATGGTCCACTGGAACTTCTTTGAGTCAAAGATAGTTTGAGGCTATTTGGTTTTGTATTAAAAACATTCACAATGTAGTTTCTTTATATTCTTTGGGGAAACTTCATTGAAGCACATATAGTTCTAYTTTTAATTGTTTGTGTTTTGGTATTGGCTAGGATATAGTTAATTTCTTTTCAGTAGGTGGTWCAGTGCTGTGTTTTGGATTCAGTATTATAATGTTGATAACACACTGATGTTTTGGTTGCTACTAAGTAGTGTTTATTCTAAGTCAAAGATTATTTTGTTACATGGAAGAGGGGCTGATCTGTGTTCCAGGAGGGGATCTGAAGCGGGTGGTGAGCAGTTGTGCATCACTGTTTCTCCTTGTTTTGGTTTGGTTTTTTTAATCTTTTTATTATCATTATTATTTATCATTGTTATTAAATTTTACTTTTGTTTCCTGTATGAAACGGTTTTAAACATATCTTACAAGTTTACTTTTGATTCTCCCTCCCATTCTACTGTGTGGTGCTTAGTTGCCAACTGGCCTTAAGCCATGACAACTGTCAAATTTAAAAATGGGAAGTTCAATGGAAATATAAAAGTGATACTTAGATACCTGCAGTAAGCCTTAACTCTGCATTTGATTARTACAGATCATCCTTCTTTGCCTAGGAGAAACCCTGGTTTGAGTGGAATTCCATGTGACACTAAATGCTTTGCCCAAGTGTGTCAAGTCCCAGGGATTGAAGACTGAAAAGCATTTTGAGATATAAAATGCACAATGTATTTGATGAGTAATTAAAGCATGATACAGTTATGATTGAGTTAGTGGATAAAAGGTGCAGTTACTGCAGAATGTACTACTTGAAATTTAGTTTGTGTTTTTAAAAATTGATATAATTTACTTCTCTTTGCACACCATCAGTTTATTAATGCTGCTTTCTGAACAATTATCAAATTTTATGGGGAACATTTTTGGGGCTGGTTATGCTTGATGATAAACTTTGGTCATTTGGTGATTTTTCTTTTCTTCTTTTTACTTATATATGCAAAAATAGCCTCAGAATATATTCATATCACATGATGATAAAATAAAAATAGGTGACTTTGGTCTTGTGACTTCYGTGGCATTTGAGACTCTTACTGAGAACAGAGGAACAAAATCATATATGGCACCAGAACAGGTAATTATCCTGCTGTATTAGTGTCTCTGTAATTAGATTTGCACWATAAACTCAGCACTGGATGTATTCAATCCTAATCTCAGCATTAAAGCTAATTGCCTAAAGTTCCCTGGTGTGACTATATGTGAGGATAGCWGTATTCTGGAGAAAGCTTTGCTACAAGTGTGGTAAAGTTTTCTGCTCTGGGTGAACAGTCTGAGACTGCGTGCTGTAAGAAATGCTCTTGCAAAACCAGGCTGCCAGACATATATTTAAATTTGAATTTAGGACTTCTGTTAATTGTGTAATTTGAGTTTCTCTATTTGTTTCATTATTTGTCACAGGGCAATRTCAGCATGCTTTATACAGGTTGGTGGAAGTCTTAATTTCAGAGTGTTCAATGTGACATGAAAACCACTATCTAACAGGTCTGAGGCAGAAAAAAACTAATAAGGATATTGAGTRGGGCCAATCCTATAGCCTTGAGTGGAAATTTCTGCTGATTTCAAATTTTGCTTTAAGAAGTGCTGCTCTCCAGTTGGATTTGATGCCTGTATTGTTCTGTTCTAATCTTTCTAGTYTGGGGCCAGATATGGAAAGGAAGTCGATATTTATGCACTGGGATTAATTTGGTTTGAAATTCTTKCGGTATTCACTGGTCATGAGAAAATTAAGGTATGTAATCCTTAAAAAAGAGCTCCCATTGTTATTGTTTTGCTTTGCTGCTGGTATCACATGATGATAGCACACTAGAAGGAATCTCTTTATCTAGAGTACTATCTCCATTTACATTTTTTCCTTAATTCATTTCCATAAAGCCTGTAAGTCCTCACATCTCAGTTTAAATCTGTAACTGAAGTTAAAAAATATTAGTTTATTTCACTTATGTCCTACTGCATATTCACTAAAGCCTGAGCATGCTAAAGGATAATGTCAAGCAAAAAAGGATGTCRCGTTTCTTATAAATCTGTTTTTGTGATCAGAAACTTAAAGGAAGTATTTTTCTAATTTTAGAAAATTATGGATGGGTGAGTTTTGTGTCTGCCATGCCCTTGTCTTCACTGTACAGTGGAGCAAGAAGAGTTCCCATCAGGCCAAAACCCTTGCTATCTTCCAAGATGAAAATGAAAGTGATTTGGAACATGTTGCTTTAAGTGARAAATATATTACTTCAAAAAGAAATTCCATGTTACTTAAGCTTTTTAGAAAAAGACATCTTCTTTGTGTTTTGAGCTTTTTATGTGCAAACCTACATATTGATACGACCCTGATGTAGCTGCTGGGGGTATTTTGTCTAAAGTAATTGTGTTTGAACACTGTTAGCCTGATCCTTTTGCCAGTATGAGAAAATCATACCAATGTGTCTGTTCAACTTGGCTCTGTCCAGCCACCTTGCAGCATTTTCTCAGATATTTTGTTCCTGCCCACAGCTGACTGCAAATGCATGCACAGTCCCATGGTGTTTACAGTTGGAAAGGAGTAATTTCCTTAAACTGTAAAAATGTTGTGCTCTGTGGGCAGGTGGGGAAGCTATATGGATGGAAAGTCTTAAGGTGGTCTTCAGCTGAAAAGAATTCAGAAAGAATTTCACTTAATGTAACTTGATAAATTCTAGCGCTGGCAAGCCCTGCTGTAAGAACATAATGTAAAAGCAAAGTTGATTTTTCTGTGTTGAGTAACTGGTTCAGCAGATGATACCCTGCAGGTAGGGTCACAGGCCTAAAGCTACTAGTAAAGAGTAGGGGGAAAACTTGAAGTTCATGGGAGGTTTTGTTTTACAGGATAGTGGTTGTAATGCCTTGCTGTGCCAGGCTTGAAGGGATCTATGACTAGCTGATGATTCAGGATACACAGCTAAGTCCAAGAACATGATTGTCATCTTCAGGCAGACATTATAATAGTTAACAGCAAATTAATTAAGCAGAATGCTCTGTTTACCCAGAAAGCCACTTGCAGAATCATAGAATGGGTGAAGTTGGAAGGGGCCAACGGAGGTCATCTTGTCCAACCTCCCTGCTCAAGCAGGGTTCCCTAGAGCGCATTACTTGAGCCTGTGCCCAGTTAATCTCCAGTCAGGGAGACTCCACACCCTCTCTGGGTAATCGGTCACCCACACAGTAAAGGAGTTCCTCCTCATGTTCAGGTGGAACTCCCTGGGCATCCGTCTGTGCCCGTTGCCTCCTGTGCCATGGCTTGGCAGCACCGAGCAGAGCCTGGCTCCGTGCTCTCGGCACCTCCCTTCAGACACTCTCAGACATTGATGAGGGCCCCTCTCGGTGTCTCTTCTCCAGGGTGAACAGGCCCAGCTCCCCCAGCCTTTCCCCCTAAGAGAAGCTCCAGTCCCTTTGTTACCCTCCTCTCGAGCTGCTCCAGGAGCTCCCTGTCTCTCTTGTCCTCAGGAGCTCAGAACTGGACCCAGCACTCCAGATGTGCCTCACCAGGGCTGAGTAGAGGGGCAGGATCACCTCCCCTGACCTGCTGGCTGTGCTCTTCCCTATACACCCCAGGATTCCATTGGCCTTCTTGGCCACCAGGACACCCTGCTGGCTCATGGGGGGCTTCTTGTCCTCCAGGATCCCCAGTCCCTCTCCACAGAGCTGCTTTCCACCTGTCAGCCCCCAGCCTGTGCTGGTGCAGGGGGTTGTTCCTCTCCAGGTGCAGAACCCTGCACTTGCCTTTGTGGAATTTCAGAAGGTTCCTCCCTGCCTGTCGAGGTCCTTCTGAAGGGCTGCACAGCCTCTGGGGCATTGGCCACTCCCCCAGCTCTGTGCCATCAGTGAACTCGCTGAGGAGGCATCTGCTCCTCCATCCAATTCATTGATGAACAAGTTAAACAAGACTGGNCATCCGTCTGTGCCCGTTGCCTCCTGTGCCATGGCTTGGCAGCACCGAGCAGAGCCTGGCTCCGTGCTCTCGGCACCTCCCTTCAGACACTCTCAGACATTGATGAGGGCCCCTCTCGGTGTCTCTTCTCCAGGGTGAACAGGCCCAGCTCCCCCAGCCTTTCCTCCTAAGAGAGAAGCTCCAGTGCCTTAATCATCTTTGTTACCCTCCTCTGGAGCTGCTCCAGGAGCTCCCTGTCTCTCTTGTCCTCAGGAGCTCAGAACTGGACCCAGCACTCCAGATGTGCCTCACCAGGGCTGAGTAGAGGGGCAGGATCACCTCCCCTGACCTGCTGGCTGTGCTCTTCCCTATRCACCCCAGGATTCCATTGGCCTTCTTGGCCACCAGGACACCCTGCTGGCTCATGGGGGGCTTCTTGTCCCCCAGGATCCCCAGTCCCTCTCTGCAGAGCTGCTTTCCAGCAGTCAGCCCCCAGCCTGTGCTGGTGCAGGGGGTTGTTCCTCTCCAGGTGCAGAACCCTGCACTTGCCTTGGTGGAATTTCAGAAGGTTCCTCCCTGCCCATCTCTCCAGCCTGTCGAGGTCCTTCTAAAGAGCTGCACAGCCCCTGGGGCATTGGCCACTCCTCCAGCTCTGTGCCATCAGTGAACTCGCTGAGGAGGCATCTGCTCCTCCATCCAATTCATTGATGAACGAGTTAAACAAGATTGGCCCAGTATTGAACCTTGGGGACAGCACTGGTGACAGCCTCCAAACAGACCCTGTGCTGCTGATTACAGCCCTCTGGGATCTGCTGTTCAGCCAGTTCTCAAACCACCTCACTGCCCACTTGTCCAGTCAATGCTTCCTGAGTTTGCCTATGAGGATATGAGAGACAGTGTCACATAGAAAAGAAAARAATTGTTACCCAAAAGCCTTTTCTGTAGAACGTAATGAGAAATCTGTTAGTTGCTTTGAATTCCATGTAGCATTTCATGCAGTGACATAGAAATAAGTGTGTGTTACTGAACACAGTAAAAAGGAGGAAGCAGATYTGCTTGGCTTGCAAACAGAAATTTGGTTTTTTCTTTTAATATTATTAGACTAYAAATCCATTATTTTTAAATTAAKGAAAGAAAGGTAATGGTTCTGAAAWAGAAAGAACTACTGAAACAAACATGTYATTGTAGTGTGTGAAGTTTTTAAGCTTAGAAATGGATAATAGTTGACAGAAGGACATCAAACCAAAGCACAGTTAAATTTAAAAAGAAAACCCCAACCTTTCAAACTGTTTACAGTTGCTTTTTGAAGCCTTACATTTCCTGTAGATTTGTTTTTTTTCCTAACTACTTCAGTAAACTATATGGGTCATAAGGTAGAGATGCAAAACATGAGTGAAAGCATATGAAAACTATTCTCTTTTATTAATTTTAGGTGTGGCCTTCTGTTAGACAGGGTRAACTTCCAGAGCACTTCATCAACCAATTTCCATCACAGGTATGAGATTTTAATAAATTTTTTAGTTACTGTGTTTATAAAACAAAAAACAAAAAACAACCAACTATTGACATTTTTTTGCAGGCATCCATAATCAAAAAGATGCTTTCAACAGATCCTGCAGGAAGGATGACTATATCTCATTTACTTGATCTTCTTAAGTCCATTGATAAAAAGGAGCCACTTAAAAATTWTTCTTACTAAATGTCCTTTCAGACTGTTTAAATAGAGCTTGATACATTTATTACAACTGATGAAATGACAACAGATGTCAGAAGCAACAAGACTTGAGGTGTGTCTTTTCCTTGGTCTCATCACCATTCATATCCACTAACTGTGGACCAGGATGGGGCACTTCTGCAACAAATCACTTGCAATTTTTACCTGGARACAGAGGTTATGGATGAGCTAGATTGTTTTGTACAATAAGTAAAAGAACCTGGTCCTTTTTCCCTTGATTATGTTGATGTGCTAAAGTGCCAACTGGCTTGTGACAAATCCCTGCATGTGCTGCATCCATTACCCCATAAGGTTATCTGATGCTTTCCATGGAAGAAGAGCAGTCTGGTGCTATGTGTCTYGAAGCTTTCTGATTTGTTCAATGATATTGTTAATAATTACTGAAATGCTCCCATTAATACCAAGGCTAGTTTTGGTAGAAAAGATACTAGGAATAGGTGCAAGTTATTCTTCACTCAGTTTCAGTATTTAAGGGGAGCTTTCTTATCTCTTCTTACCTGCTGATGACCTAGCACATTCAGTGCTCTAGAGTTTAAAAATATAAACTTGTAAAATAAGGATCTCTTAAGAATTTAAGCTTCTAGTAAATCTTGTTTAGAACAAATCTCAATTTTTGAAAAATTTAGTTTTTGATGGTTGTCGTTTCTGGAAAGGAACACCTAAGGTTCTATTAATACAGCAAAATTCTCCAGTTTCCTCAGCGGTAACMATTTCACATCCTAGGCTGAAATAGCACTTTAAACATTCCCATGTTTCTAGGTTTTAATCTCTTATTGTAATACTGAGGCATGCCTAACCCTTAACAATTGTATGGAATGCCTCTGGTGTGCCCACTGCCAGCCCCACAAAAGGCAACAGCAGGTTTTCTGCTACTCTTCAACTACATCCTTCAGAGTTCAGACTTGCCTGAACTCCAAGTACTGTGTGTGGTGTGGGGAGCAGGCTGAAGAGACAGGCACAATGGAACCTTCAGGTGCTTGTCTTTGAGCTCTGTCTTGTCAAACTGTTCACTGATGTGGGGCCAACATAACTCCATAAGGACAAATGAGCAGAGATTTCTAAGCAAAAAAATAGGTAATATGTTGAGTACTGTATGCTTTTTCCTGAAATGTTAAATGGGTTAAAAGTGGGTGATTGCCTRAAAGACAAAATTCAAATGAATGTATTTATATTCCTAGGGAAATTACTGATATTCTGGTGCAAGTAATTGTTGCTAAGTGAGATTGTGATTGTACATACTTTTGTAAGGCCTTGTACTGTTCTGGGCTTTTTTTTCCTCTTTGTTATGGATCACATATGTAGATTCATAGAATGGTTTGGGTTGGAAGGGACTTTGAAGATCATCCTGTTTCAACCCCCCTGCCTTGGGCAGGGACACCTTCCAGTAGATGACTTTACTGACATTACTCAGGGCCTTGTTCAACCTGGCTTTGAACACTGCCAGGGATAGGATTTTTTTTATATATATTTTCCCTGCATAATATTTSTATATTTCAGCATTACCTTTTTAAAAATGGCTAGTTACAGTATCAACTGCTGTTCCTTGAAAATGTCTRTGAAAATGTATTTTTATGTAAAAAACTGAAAACCCAACATCATGATCTAATTCTGTATAGTTATCCAAAATATGCACCTTTATATACAACAGAATATTGGTTCAAATAGCATCAYTGCTATGTTTCACAAGTTTTTTTTTCCCCACCAAGTTTAAGATAGTAAGCAAAGCCAGTGTGGTATTTAGGCATTTCCCTGGAAAGATGAAAAAMCCCTGTTTATTAACACAGTATACACAAATGTGATTAGCCAATATTTATTCCTTTACTCAAATTTGAATTTTATTATCAGTTGGGCAGGGCATAAACAAAGATGTGAAAGACYTGAACTAACATAATTGAGAGGTAGTTAAATACAAATATCAAGTTTTAATTCCTATTAAATTGAGCACCAAACTGAAAATACTAACTTGTCAACTTCAATTCTTTTTTTTTTTGCATACTTTGGTATGAATTTGTTGTGGGTTAAAGTTTCTCCTTTCATTTCCTTTCTTGGGAATTTTTCTTTCCCATTTTGTTGCTAGGATACACTGATTGCCAGGTCATCCTTTTGATGGCTGGGCTATTGGTTAAGACAATAGAAGCTATGCCCACCCAAGGATCTCCCTAGGCATTGCTCCTGCCTGGCAGGTTTTTTTTTTTATCCCTCTCTTTGGAGAGAGGGAAGTTATCGCGGGAGTTTCAGGCTCGGGGAGGGTGTGTGTGTGTGGTGGGGGGTAACTTCACTYCCTGCCCTGCTTGGCTCGGGGGAAGATGGTGAACCTGCTGCATGCAAGGGGAGGGCTTGTCTGCTCTTGTCTGCAGAGCTCAGCATCTCTGCTCATTGGTTCCTGTTTGCTGCACTGTGATCTTCTGCCCCTGTGCCTTGCTGGGACCCCTGGGATTCCAGCTGCAGTGGCCGAGTTCTGCTGCATCCCGGCTGCAGCCGTGGTATTCTGCTCATCTCTTTGATCATCTCACCGTTCTGGGGTTTCTTGCTGTCCAGAGGAGCACCGAGATCGGCATTTCCGCTGTGAGTTTGCAGAGGAACTTTTTCTCCATCCACCTCTGCCGGTTTGTGTCCACCATTGGCCATGTGGGAGATCTGACCCAGCCGGGACCCGCGCCACAGCGCCCCCTGCAGCCGTCAGGGAATCATCGCACCCGCCCTGCCCTGCCAGGAGCCAACAGCGCCCCTGCCGGCTGGGACTGTAACTGCACCAAAGGGGAGGCTGTGTCTCTGTAGGGCTGTCACTGGGTTTGGGACTGGGTTGATTGTTGCTATTGTTGTTATTTGTTTCATCTTGTTATACATATTAGTAAACACCATTATTGCCTTTTACCCATATTCTTGCCTGAAAGCCCGTGATTTTCAAAGCTATAATAATTTGGAGGGAAGGAGGGTCCCTGCCYTCATTAGCAAGCACCTGTCTTTCAAACTAAGACAGAMTTCTTAAGTATGGCACAGCTCCAAGGCTTCTAAAAGATACTATGAATTGTACATACTTATCTAGGGCTCCTTCTTTTAGTCAGGCTTTAGTCATGATCTGCAGCACTGTCTCCAGGACAGTTTGAAGATAAATCTTCGGAGTCTACAGGATAAGCAGAGAAAAAGTAAGTAATTGYAGCTCAGGGGARAAAAAAATGCTTGCTAGAAATAYTTCTAGAATCCATGTAGAACAGATWAAATAGAATTCAAKGCTTGCAAGTGTTTYACTYTCAAATTTTTTTAAAACAGTGAATACAAATTCTACTCTCTTTGGCACTGTGAAASTGGATGGCATTTTAATTGTTTGAGAAACACCTGCCAACTTTCACTGCTTTTTATGGTATTGCTTTTAATATTTGAATTACRTTTTCTTAAAACTAAATATTAATAGAAAATCAAGTAAATGTCAGTATGGCTGGCTGTGTTTTGTTGTGTGGGGGAGTTTTTGTTTGGTTGGTTGTGGTTTTTCTGCATGTAAACCTAAAAACTGGCTAGCAATTACAATACATACAAAGCTTTGTGCAAAAACCACCAGCCTGCAAGGTAAATTTCCTATGTAGTTTTAGAAGACTGCAGTAAGAGAAACACAAAGGATATATTCTACAACTGGAGTCTGGCTGTATAAGTAAAGTAAAGCCCTTACAAAAGATTGGTTCACTCTCACCTTCATAAGTTGTTCCACACCAAATGCAATAGAAGTGTTCCTCTCTCAAATAGGCCGTCAGGATGTGTAGCTTTTCTGATACCTAGAATGTGTAAAGATACGCAATGATCTGGGGCTCATGTGACATGAACCCGTTTGAGCTACTGGTTTGTTAAAATTAAGTGTTTGACCTTTTGCTGTGGAAAAGCTACACAATACTGTAGCTCAGTAACACATGAACTTTCCCAGATTTGTAGAATAGGGCAYACAAATTCATGATCTTTGGAAAGAGGCTGTTGTTTGTTCATCCTTCTTTCCAGCTAAGAAACCTGCACGGAAGAGAGAGCTAAAAATATTACTTAGCTATCTGACTTCAAGTATATGATATCTTTTGTGGATTTTTGCATACCTAATCTCTGCCAATCAAACACATAAGGCTAACAACAGCTGTGTAATCTAGTTCTTGAAAATGAGAATTTCAATATCCATCTTGAAATAATCTGTGAAGCATTTTCAGAAATTAATTAGTGACTCTAAACTTCAACCTCAGACATGCGATAAGGCATCCAAAATTGAAATTCAAAAGCAAATAACTGTGATTTTGCATATCTTGGCTAAGGCACAAAAATRTTTAGAATTTAATTGCTAGGCTAATTTTTCAAACATCAGCCTTAAAACAGATAAGCAATAAATCAGTGGTTTAATGCTTTATATTTTGTCATGTAACTGCTAAGAAATCACTGCTGTAGAATTGTGAGAAGGCTTTTCACTACAGCTTGGAAAAGGTCAGGTATAAATATATCCTTTATACGGGTATGTATACATATATACTGTTTCAAGGAATGTTAAATTTAATTCTGAATCAAGTCATTAGTTCAGTTGCAGAGCTTACACTTAAGTCTGAGCTTGTGCATTCATCTTCCTTGTCTTCCTCAYCCTTTTTTTCTTCCTCTTCAGGTTCTATCCAAAACCAAGTCTCCTTGGGAACATCAATATCCTTAAATAATGAGGGATTTAAATGGAAGTTATCTGCTTTTGTAGGTTTTCTTGTAAGATGCTGGATAAAACTAATTTCTAGTAAGTGAGTTGTTAGGCTTTAAAACTTGCATGTATAGTATAACCAATAATTACTAAAGCTGTAGCTAAATACAGCACTCCACAAGGATTATTCATGTTTTTAAAACAATGGAATGCATGCTAATGCTAATTCTATTTCATCTGTTTGGTACATGCAAAGCTACACAGCAACATAACCTCACACCAAGCCTGTGAGCAGATCCCTTTGTTTACCACCTGAAGACATGCTACCCCAAGTTATTTTATCAAGAGGTCACATCGTGCTTCCTAATTCACTTCAAGTAAAGTTAAAGGAAGAAGAGTAAACGAAGATGATCTAAGCTTAATTCAGCAGACTTCATTTAAAGTCAACTAAGTAGTATTGAACAATCTCAGCAGAACTTGTAAGGTGGTATGAACCTCTACCAAGTTAACAGAGGAAGAAAAAACCTTGAAGTTATCCAGGGGCAAAAATTTATAGCAATTCACTGCAATTACCCATGTTATTCCTTGCAGGGAGAAGGTACTTAGTTCTGTGTGAACTTTTGTTTGTTTTTATAATGCTGCTTTGGTGAATCTGCTGATTCCCTCAATGATGATTCCCATTTTTGGAGATACTAAAGAGCTGCCTGGACATGGTCCTGGACAACCTGCTTTAAGGGATTCTGCTTGAGAAGCAAGACTGGACACTGCCAGAGTCCACTCCTAATATCAATCATTGTGTGATGATGTTGCTTCCTCACTTGAAGCAAATAGCACCTTTCTTTGGAATGGCCTTTTTCCAAATCCCCAGAAAACCCCACAGCTCTCACTTTTTGCAGATCTAATTGCTGGCAGGCCCTCTGGCTTTTTCGCAGATCCCCTTCCATCTTACGTTCTTCTTGTTTGGTTTTGAATCTTATTCTGATAAGAACAAGGAGAGGTAAATAAGCAGGCAGACACACAGTGACAGATGCATTACAGTCCACAGCTTTTCAAAACCAGAAAATTTTAGATTCTATTTCTGCTAACTCTCTCAGACTTGGACAACACTGAAATTAAGAAGTAATTCTGACGTTATTTCTGTGGGAGCACACTTGCATTTCTTAGGAATTATATCTTCAAGATATCTTTTTGGACCACACTACACAGTTTCTTCATCAGGTTTTCATAAGACATAAAAAAGTGGTTCACTAAACACCTCCAAAAGATACAGCCTTCTCTAAGATTTCCTTCTCCACATATTACAAGCAAACCAGGTGAGAACAAAACCAATAAAACTTTAAATAATGTATCCTGATTTTTAAATCCATTGTACCAACACTACTCAGGAATATCTGTGGATTTTGTATTTTAAAAGATGATTTGTTTCACCAATTAAAAAACCTGCATACAACTTGGAAAAAGTTAGTATGTATATTGTTTGCATTATTAACAATTACAAAATGAAATGATGCAGCACATACTCGTAGCATTAGAGTGTTCATCTACTTTTGCTTTAGAACTGAGAAACAATTTGTAACATAACCCTCATTTTTCATTCAAAATATTAAAAARTGGTAGCACATTAAAAGAATAACCAAACTTCAAGCATAAACAGAACTTGTTGTTTAGACATTGCTTGGAGTATCAGTTATGTGATGTTACCTGAATTGATCTGCAGCTTGTTCATTTGCTTGTTTTTTCATATGAAGTTTTTGTCTGTAGTTTTCCAGTTTTTCTTCAGCTTTTCGCTTTTTTAATTCCTCGTGACCAAGCCCACTTCTGCCTATATATGTTCAAAAGATGAATGTAAGCAGTTGAGAAGCTCTGATATGCAGCTAAATAAATCAGAAAATGCCACAAACCTGTTTTTATGTTCAGGGGAATAGGTTCAACAATGCCTTCTCCTGTGAGAGAAAAAATAAGTCAATTTAGGAAATCAAGTTTTTCTCAAACAATGATTTGTGCAGTGTACTCAAGGTAGGCAAGCTGTTTTTTGTCATTAAAGCGGTACATTTCCTTGTGATTTTTTTTGCTTGGTAGTTGAAAATTTCCCAATCAATATAAATTAGGTGTGCCACAAATGGCACAGCTGTAGTGGAAATCCCTCTTTTTCAGCTTGTCTGTTGGATTCCTACATACTTTTTTCACGACACAATCAAACTGAAAGAAAACTGTATTGACATGACAGGTATAACATACCTGTGATGAAGACTGCTGTGTTACAGCCTTCTGTAACATTTTCATTCTAGAATCTCACAACAGTGATGAAGAACAAAAAGAATCTGTCTGGGCCAGTTCATTTGTGATTGTCTGCAGAGACACTGAACTGGCACAACAGTTATTGATTCCTTGTCTTACTGATTTTACTTCACCTATTACAGCTTCATAAGGGTAGGCCAATGTGTGTAATTTCTTTTTCAGAACCCAGCTATAAAGWCCAAGACAGTCTGATGTTTTTTAGAACACTATTAGCTTTGCAAAACCACYAAAGTATCCTTAATGCAATTCCTGTAGGCATGCACATATGGAAGGGCATCTACTGAGCTGCAAGTACTGCTCTTCCCTCACATCCCTAGTCTTGTCCRGTTTTTAGTTCAGTTTTAGGAATTTACTCTCATATTTTGTATTGTCACAGCACATTCACCGTTCCACAATGCTATGGCACTCTGAGAAGCATTTATTATCTGTCAACAAATGAAGTGACAGCTGCAGTCTGTAAAATATAAARGTATAGCTGAATACAGACACGTGGTTCCAGAGAGTGACAAACTTACCACTTTTGCCGAGGGCCTGGCCACTCTTGTAGCCCATCTTCTGGAGCAAAGCAAAGCCTTTGTTCTCGTTTCCCAATGCACTTTTCAACACCAAGTCTCGTCTCTCTTTTTCTTCTTCTTTTATGCTTTTTTGTCTGTTCTTCTCATTGGCTTCTTTCTGCTTTTCTTCTTTCTGAATAGCTTCCTTCACCCGCCTCACCATGGGCAAGCCTGGCCTTACATCCTGCCTTCCGAGTTAATAATTCCAGTAAACATCAGCATTTTGKTTTTTAACACTTTATAATCACTTGAGAGGGATAAAAAAAAATAAGTACCTACTTACTTAATAAATAAATCAGACATGTAGTCTTCCTCTTCATCTCCCTCCATGCTTAGCACTCTCTGTGCCGACCCCTCGCCTATGGACACCGTCAGTGGCGGAACCCGCCGCCGCCCCTCGGCCCTACCGCTCCCGGGGGACGGGGACGGAGGGGCCGAGAGCAGCTGAACCCGCCGGGCCTTTGCGGGCCAGCCCGGGGCACTCCGCCCGCCTCCACGCCCACAGCGCGTCCTCCCGGGCTCCGCTGCCGCCGACCAGCGGCCGCCGCGACGCCGCTCCACGCCCGGGAGCCACCAGCGAGCCGCAGCCAAGCGCCAGGAGCGGGGACAGCCGCCGGCGACCCGCAGCCGAGCGCCAGGAGCGGGGACAGCCGCCGGCGACCCGCAGCCGAGCGCCAGGAGCGGGGACAGCCGCGGGAACCAGGTACGCAGCGGCCCCAGCTCGGCCGGACCGCGGCGCCTGCGCGGGGCCGCCCCCGCCCGCCGGCGCCTGCGCCTCTCCCGCTTCCTGCTGCGGGGCCGCGGGTGTCTCCGCGCTGCCGGGCTGCGTCGGGGCCGGGCTTGGGGCAAAGCCGCTCGTGTTCCCACTCGACGCCTCTCCGCGCCCGCCAGACCTGGGCACGGCGGCGGCTGGAGCGGCCGAGCCCGCCGGTGATGGTGCCGCGGCCGGGGGSGAGCGCGGCGCAGCGCGCCCACGCCTGTCCGTGACCGTGAGCGGGGCCGCGCTGTGGCGCCTGGCGCAGCCCGGAGCCSATAATCGTAAGTGACCGTGAGCGGCCCGGCCCGGGCCCAGGGGGCTGCGGCGGAGCGGGCCCGAGGGTCCGCGCTTGCCTTCGGGCTCCGCGGCGTGTGGGGTCGGTGTGCGCCTGTGTGTGTGTGTGCGGGGATCCTTCCCTTGGTATCGTCTGCTCCGCATCCCTGCCGGAGCACCCTTCCCTTACCGCCGGCGCTGCGCCGCTTCCTTACCTCCCGARGGGTTTGCAGAAGCAGGCAAGATGCCCTGGGAGAGCTGCTATAGCTTATTAAAGTAACCGGTGCCGGTWGGAGAAACCAGGCATGAAATCTTTTCACCTGATGGAGCCCTTCAGGAGTGTGTCACTTTGCCTAAACTTGCCTGTTTCTCGGCTTTCTTGCTCTACTGAAGTGCACGCGTGATGAAGATACAAATAGTTGATTTAGGCTTAGAAAAACAGCTGGGGAATAGAAAGAATTTTTTTAGTACAGCTGAATGTTTTCTTATCTCTGTAATACTCCAACTTACCTCAGTGGCTGCTGATTGACTTTGATCGGCTTTGGCTCTGTATCCTGCGAAAGATCACACATTTTTTGTAACATGCTCAGCAAGACACAGCCCTTGACAGAATCAGTAGAACTTGGTAGGGTTTTTGCTCTTTTTGGAGCAAACCTTTGGCTAGTGTAAGTGAGCTTTGGATTGCCTACGTAARTAGCTCCGTGTTAGACTGAACCTTCAGTTAGCTGAACCTTTGTTTAATTGCTCTTGTGTCTGATCCCGTGTGCTTTGTCAGCACAGCTGAATGTATGTGCGGGTTTGCTCGCTTAGAGCTTGTGTTTCCTGCATTTTAGATGAAAAGGTATGGGAGTGTGGGGAAGCTCCATAAGGGGTTTGTGGCTCCTGTGGCCAGGGGTAAATGAARCCTTTGATGTGGGGACGAAAAGAAGTAATGAGCTGTGCTGTTCTACAGTACTTATGGTGCTTTATGTGCTGTGCATGTGGGACAAGCAGTGCAGATCCTGGGGTGATATCCAAAGAATCATAGTGCTGTCATTCATTATGTCTCTTTGCTCTCACWTAAAGGTGTTTTGAGGGGATGTGTGTGAGTTATTGACAGGCAATGCCTTTTCTGTTCTTTATAAATGTAAAAAAAAMCCCAAACAAACCAGAAAATGTCTTTGGAGGAGTTAGGCAGGGCTGCGCAAACTTCCATACGTGGCTCTTYCACCTGTGCTGATCTGTTGTTGGAACTCTATGCAGTGAAAAATATGCAAARTGCTGAAGTGCAGGGAACAACCTTAACATTGAAGACAATTGTGATGCCTTAGTTTCATCAGCACCAAATCATTAAGATGGGTTTAGAACCATAATACAATATTAATATGTGAGGCTTACTGATGTCTCATTTGCGGACTGTTTAAAAAAWATCAATTTCAGTCACTTCATTTGAGTTTAAGAATTTGTTGATTTTGACCATGAATGAGGAAGCAGCTATGAACTCTTGAGAGTGCAAATGGAGCAGTGCAGCTGTCAAAAGATGATTTTTGCTGAAAGCTGATGTCTTACATAATACTCCTTAGTTGTTTTGCTTTCTSTGTTTTGCCTGAGATCCTAGTTTCAGCATCACTGCATTCAGGTTTTGGGGTTGGGTTGTTTATTTGCTTTTTGAGTTTCTTTTYGCTGAAGATGGTTGACTTAATGTTGTGATTTTAGGTGAGTTTTGTGGTTTATTTTCTTCTGTCAGCTCTGCATTGAGCAGCTACATGCTTTTTCAGGTGCTTTGCTAAGATAAGTTGTTGGCAGAGTATTTGCTTACTCTGATAGTGTACTTTTGGTAGTGCTTTGATGCCAGCCCCCACTGTTTGAGGATTTCCTGTGTTCCATCTGCAGTATTTTGCTGCTGGGGAGACTTGCAGTCATGAGGCTGCTGCTTGTGTTCTAGGCTGTCACTCCTAAGGCTTGCTGYGTTTCAGAGAGCTTGTTTGTCCTGCACTTAAAGCAAGACTAGTGGGATCTGGGAAATCTTGGGTCAGTGATGCCAAATCCTGTGACTGTTCGTCTCAAATTTGCATTGGCTGGAAYTTCTGGCTTGTGGTGGGCTCATCTTCTCAGCTTGTCTGTTGAAGGGTTTTGAGAAGGGAGCCAGGTTCAAGCCACAGCTTCGGGAGTGGGCTCAAGGGTCTTGATTTGCACAGTCCTTTTCCATGTAAGAGGAGGCAGTGAGATGATTCCTTTATCTTCTTTAAAGAGAGACTTTGGTATATTTTTCATGGCTAAGAGTTTGTACCCTGAAATTGCCTGTAGGTACTCTTTTTACAGTTAACAGCTCAATTCCCTGAAATACTAATGAATATACTCAGTTTGTGTTTCATTATACAAATATGTGAATAGCTTTTATGTGGGACTGCTTAGCTAAGACAAGTCTAAGCAAGGTGGGTATTTTCATTTGATTTTCAAAGCTTTGCAGTGATGCACTATACTTTATACTAATATTTACATTTTTATTTTAGAGTTTCTACGTTGATTTGCAATAAAACTGGAATTCAGTCTATTATGGAGCTGGCTCATAGTTTGTTACTGAACGAGGAAGCGTTAGCTCAAATCACAGAAGCAAAGAGACCAGTCTTTATCTTTGAGTGGTTGAGATTTTTGGATAAAGTACTGGTAGCTGCCAACAAGGTAATTTTACGGTTTTTTTTTCCCCACTTCTTTCTAAAGAAACTTTCTTTAAAAAAGCTTTGTGTTAATTTGCTGCCAGAGAAAGCTGACAGGTAATGGCCAGATGGTAACTATGGTTTCAAATTCAGCCTGAAGCGCCTCTGTGTTAATTTGTGGCTTTTAAGTGTTTAATTTTGGGCAGTCAGTAGGCAGCTAGTAAGTACTTTTAAAAAGTAAAAATTATATAGGATAGCAGCTAATTTGAGCATTTAGCATCTGTCTCTGTTTTTGAATATATCTCATGTCTCTTTGAGACAAGCAATTTGCTGAGTTRCATTTAATGGGGAATGGTATAAGGTTTACTTCCATTTCTTGTAGATTTTCCTGGGTTTTAGAGGCAACATGAAGGATTAAACTACTTTTTTATTTATTTTTGGTCCATTAACAGACAGATGTCAAGGAAAAACAGAAGAAACTTGTAGAACAGCTAACAGGACTCATCAGCAGTTCCCCTGGGCCACCCACACGGAAGCTGCTTGCAAAAAATCTTGCTGCTCTCTACAGYATTGGAGACACATTTACTGTTTTTCAGACGCTTGACAAGTGTAACGACATCATCAAGAGCAAAGATGATACTGCAGCCTACCTGCCCACAAAACTGTATGTTTAATATTACTGGGAAAGGGGGAATGATTTTTAAACCAAGTGGTCCTGGATTACAGAMTAATCTGCCTATATATGTGCATGCTGTGTTTCCTTACATTTTACATGCTTGGAGTTCACATATGCTTGATATAGCAGAGAAAAGCACTGGRTTGAGATTGTACAGGGCAGAACTCAAAGGTGACTAATACATGGCTATCTGAAAATGAATTTTTTTTTTCTAGGCGAGGCATTTGTTATGTTTGTTCACATGCCAATGGCATGGAAAGGATAACAGTTAATGAAGTAATGCCATGAGGACATTCCACCAGTGGAATTACTGCTGGTTTTGCTCAGGTACCCCATTTATGGTGGGACCTGCAGATTGTCTAACCAGAGCATTAATTTATGCCTAGGGAATTGTAACCAAATATTGGAGTTCTTTTCCCCATCAAGCGTTGCCTTTTCTATTCCCCTACCATGATAAGCAGCACCTGTCTCTCRAGCAGAGTCTCTGTACTTGGATGTGTGTGTGCATGTTTGTGTGGTCCAGTTTGGCTTTAGTCATAGGAGCAGTCTCACTGGTAGAATCTGGTTAATGCCCCAAACAACTTCCACTGAAACTGCTTTTTTCCATGTACTGCTTCATATGTTCGTGGTRTCTAGTGAACCCTAATTTGGTCTTGCCTTCAGATGTTATGACAACAATAGGATTTGACAATAAAATCTGAGTCTCTGTTTGGGCAGATACCATCCTCTTATTTCTAGCTCTTACAGCTCTGTGAGGAACTTTTATAAGTGGGAAGGGTTTTCTGCTATAACATGGTCTGAAATTTATGCTACCAAGTAATAGTCCAGAAGGTTTTTTTAATGGACACATGCCCCTTCATGGGGAATCTGTAATGAGTTTGTGACATAACATTGCTAAAAAACAACTTAGCCAGCAATTACAGACATTTTTAAAAGCCTTATTCCTTTGTGGTGAAAAAGTGCRTGTTTTCAGGAGTTGCTTCTGTGACTGTCCTGGAACAATTTGTGTAYATAATTGCAATGTGATGATAATTAATATTCCTAATCTCAAATGGCAGGGCAAGAAAAACATAAATAACTGTTTATGGGTCCAGAGATTTTACAGTGCATGTAATTTTGTGTTATGCAATAATTTCTGTATTTTATGTTCTCAGTCATGGAAAAAAACCTCATAATTAACTATCTACAAAAATGTGTCAGGATGTATAACAGAGTAGGGGTTATCTTGTAGGTGCTTGGAAAAGAAACGGTTTATTGAAACACAAAAAAACCCTAGCTTACTGAGA